GTAAAACTGTGTCGCGAAAAATTCTGTGTATATTTATTAAATTATTTTTTTTTAAAATACTTTGTGGTATCAATACGTATTTTTATCTTATTGATCTCAGTGGTTTTATAGAAAAAAATAAATAAAAAAGTGTATCTTCATCCTCTCTTCAAAAAAAAAAAAGTTTGAAAGAAAAGTTTCGCCATATCGGGTCAATTTTTAGCACCTAACAATTCCTGACACAAAGAGATTTCGAAGGAGAAAACGGTATGGGGACTGATATATTGACTATCTATATCTCTCTCTATATATAGACAGATAGAATATAAAATTATAAATTAGAAATAATCATTATTTCTCCTTAAAATATATTTGGATTTTTCGTTGAAAAGAAACACATGCGGTATAATTTTAAAATGTCGTTTTACAATCACAAGCCGCATTATATTATATTGCATTATAAATTACTCTATGTATTATTTACGAACGGAAAAATATACCCAGGGTAGCCTAGTGGACACGGCATCTGCCCGGTAAGCGGAACACTGTGGATTCGATTCCCATCCCTGGACACTTTTATTTTCCGGTTATCATTACTCTTCACAATTCATCCTTTCATTCCTAATCCCTAAGGTTAGAAATAATCGTTATTTCTCCTTAAAATAAATTTAGATTTTTCGATGAAAAGAAACACATGTGGTATAATTTTCAAATGTCGTTTTACAATCACAAGTCGCATTATATTATATTGTATTATATAATATAGTGTTATATAAAAATCGATTAAATCAATAAAGAATCAAGGGTTTTGTTTATTCTCTCTCTTTCTAAGAAAAGAAACCAAACCCTCGATTCCTTATTGATTTAAATAAAGTGTAAAAGCATGGAAGATTCTATATTATAAATCAAGTGGTATTTATATGAGAAATTGGGTTTTCCAAATTTCAGGGAACAGGTTAAATCAATGTTTAGTTGATTTCTGTTCCAATAGATGGCGCTCTGCAATCTAAAAAGCTCATGTGCTTGTGGTCAGGATATGCTTTCATTATTTTTAATATCAACACCTGACCCTTTTATTTTTTTTTCTATTGTTTTCATATATATATTTAAAAAAAGGCATCTCCTGACCACGAGCACATGTGCTTTTTAGATGGCAGAGCGCCATCTAGTGGAGCAAAAATAAACTAAACGTTTATTTAGCTTGCTCCGTGATATTTGGCCAGCCCAATTTCTTGATTTATCAAGAAAAGCCATCCACGAACGCGTTTCGCGCTGTTGGCGCTCGTCAAGGCCGAATTTGCGTAAAGACGCTTAAAACATGAAAAAACAATAGAAAAAAAAGATAGGTGGGTCAGGTGTTGATATTAAAAATAAAAAAGGCATCTCCTGACCACGAGCACATGTGCTTTTTTCAATTACTTGAGGAAAGATATTAAACATTAGTTATTTTCACATTATATAGAATTTATAAAGTTAATCCTATATTAGTGATTTAAAAGGATAGATATGTTAACTACGCATATTTACAACAAAACTATACAACAATATCGTAGTTAGCAATTCCCTTTTACTCTACGTGCACCACACATATAGAAAGCAGTTCGATCTTTTACTTGCAAGGTGTGACAGTCCAGTTTGGATAGTTGTATTCACTGATAGGATTGTTATAATGCAAGAAGGCTGATTAGAATATTCAAATGGTAATAATTGAATTGATGTTATGTGTTGCGCCAGAAACATGGATGATTTATAAAGTTGCTCGAGAAACAATATTAAAATAAAAATACCCGAATCAATACTTAATAATCAGAATTAAGCATTGAATGCAAAGAAGAACTAAGTAACATTTTCGAATGAAATTTTATGGATTGGTTTAAATTAAAAGGTCTAACGTCTTTAAAATTCTTAACGAAATATATTTCTTAAGATTTACTATATTAAAATAATAACCATGTCATTTTCCTCTTTTAATTTGAATTATCATTGCAACCATGTATGTATGTTTCATGGGTTTTTCCCTCAATAGTTTTTTATGTGAAGGGTATTGGGTCTCTTCTAAACAATGTTGCTTTATATCTTAAATACCGTCAATAATTAATATATACAGTTATCAGCGTCATAATCAATTATTTCTTAATCAATTCTGTCACCGTTTGCTTTGTGAATGGAATAATTACCCAAATATGGTCATTTCTCATAACCATCGGTGGTTCAGTGGTAGAATTCTCGCCTGCCACGCGGGCGGCCCGGGTTCGATTCCCGGCCGATGCATTTTTTTTTTACAATTCGGCTAGTGGATTTATAAAAATGACCTAAAATAGGATAAACAGATGTCTCTCTCTCTTTCTATCTTGGAAAATTGAACTATTCAATGTTCTTTAATTTTTAAGTATCTTGATTGTGGGCAAAATTTTCCCTACAATTAGTAAGATGAAAGTATTAAAAAGAAATTGTGATATTTTTACATTTACAGAATCATATTTTCCAAGATATCACTTAAATATCATCACTTAGAATAAATCTTCAAGACTATATAATCAGAATGGGAACATATTATATAAGTAGAGATCTGTGAGATTAGATTGGCAAAATCGTTGATAAAATTCACCAATGATGAACAAACCTTTCCTACTTCTTTTTTATCCTCAATTTCTCACAATAGTATAAATGCGTTCTTTTATTTAAAAAAAATGAAACATCGTTTAATTGTTCCATATACAAGAACATATATTATGCTCTATGTGTATTGTCCACATAAAAAGAGGTTTTTAACCTTCAAATATGAAATAGATTAATAAAGTCGATATATAGCAAAGTGATCTTCCGTATTTCAGTTTTACTCCTATATATTGCAGCTATTTGTTCTTATCCGATAAAATTTGGTAAATTGAATCAAATCTTTCCAATTCAATAAACTTCGCTTCTATATATAATGTTTCTCAAATAGCCTCAAAGAATCGGTGATTTTTTACAGGCAGACTCTTTATGTTCACTCTAGGAATGTGAAAAAAAACTTTATAGGCTGTTTAAACACAATGTCAAACATAGATTCATATAAGTAAAGAATTTGTGAATACTGAATCATATATAATTTGAAGATATATTTTCATATTTAAATAATTATATACTTTTTGACAATAGATAACTTCAATAATGTATTCTCACACATAAATTCGCAAAGTTTCTAATTAAAAAAAATCTTCCACATGCGTTTTTCTTTAAATCTCTTTATGTATAAAAATTCAATATATGGAAAAATATGTATAGTGCGTATGAATATTTTAAAATGTAACAATTTATTACTGCCTCTTCAACAATGATAAAACTAATGAGAGAGCCTAGATAATCGGTGTTATATATTACATATGTAAAATATATTTACACCTTTCAAATATCAACTCAAAATCATATTAGAGTATTGATACTGTGGATCTTGGACTTGTTGATAATGTCTGCTGTATATAAGCTCATTAATGGATGAGCTAATGCAGTCAATGATGGGATTACAGGTTGAGATTGACACTTGTTACACAGTGGCAAACCATTGCAGCCATTCTGGAAGATCACTGTTCTCAGTTGAGCAGACCTAAGTCTGGAAAGAAAATACTTCTGTTCTCTTGGGAATACAGAATTTATTATTGTTCTTTCTGTTTTATACCAGTCAACTGCTGCAGTAGATTTCCATTCTTGATAGAATTTGCATTGTTGGTACAGTGTAGATACACTTAATCTAGTAGGATGGTAGATTATCTAGCTCAGTGTGGCCATGAACTCAGTATTTTTCAGAGAGTCTGCCAATTCATTTTCAGGAATTCCAGCATGAGAGCTTGAACTTATTGTATTGTGATAGAGCTGTTGGCTAGGAGTCGATTTATTGATTCGAGAATACTCCTAATGTATGCGTGTGCGAATGCTATATATAATATATGTATATATATTAATATAAAGTTATAACGAGCCATCTATACATAGGATAGGAAAACATTGAGACACGAATATTTCTTTTATACATAAAATAAACTTCCACTGTCCTTACTACGGTAGAAAATACAATATTGGAACTCTAAGAAGCGCCTCTTTGTTCTTTCTCTTGTGACTACCTACACATTTTAAAATACCTCATAGATAATTGCGTTAAAAAAATAAATATTAAAAATAAAGAAATTATCTCCTTACCACGAGCACATGTGCTTTTTAGATGGCAGAGCGCCATCTAGTGGAGCAAAAATAAACTAAACGTTTATATTTAGCTTGCTCCGTGATATTTGGCCAACCCAAATTCTTGATAAATCAAGAAAAGCCATCCACGAACAATGATAATAAATATTAAAAATTCATTTTTTTTTCAGCCTTTATACATAGGAATACAAAATTTATTTCATAGATAGACTCAAATTGTAAGGTAAAATGAACCAATATATAAATGTGATAAAATAGTACAATTGTACAGGGATCAGATGGATGGATCAAGAGAAAGATATCTTCTGATCGGGCAACTAAAAGTTGCTGTAGATTCGCGCCATCTATCGGAATAAATATCAACTTATCGTTTATTTATATATGTTATGAATATTTGTTGTTGTTAGAGAAAGGGTTGATAAGACAAAGGATCGATAAGATAAAGGGTTGAAGGTGCAGTCGTGATAAGAAAAAGGTAATTATTTACCGTCAAGTAGCTTTTATTTTCAATTACTTGAGGAAATATTACACATTAGTTTTTTTCACATTATATAGAATTTATGGGTTTATCCTATATTAGTAATTTAAAAGGATAGATATGTTAACTACGCATATTTACAACAAAACTATACAACAAAAACTGGAAGTCTTTCTAAAAACGATGATAACAAAAGTAAAATTATCAATGAATAAAATATAATATATATATTTTTTAAATATAGAAATATTCGAATTTTTAGATTATATAATATATATATACTAGCCGAATGACCCGGCCACGCCCGTGTTTTACCCGATTGAATGTTTTGATTCAAATACTATTTGTTACAATTATAAATTGTGGTCATGTGGCCTAGTGGTCATGGCATCTGCCCGGTAAGCGGAAGGTCGTGGGTTCGATTCCCATCCCTTGAGACTTTTTTTATTTTATCCATTCTGACCAAAATCTATCCGTGAACTTCACACAGTGAACTTCACACAGACAGAATAAGGCAATTATATAAGTAGATACCAGAATTGGCCACAAATATCCTTTCTTAATTAATCAATAATAGGTAACCATGTACGCGTTTCGGGCTGTTCAACGATTAGTTAATATATTTACCGATAGATGGCGAAAGCGATCATCAACTTTTAGTTGTACCATCAGGAAAAGTTTTTCTCCTAAAATATAAATGTATAAATAGAGTTGTATCATCTTAGGATTTAGAATTTTTAGGAAATAAAATAGAAATTGTGCCAAATCTACACGAATCATCGATTTAATATTTCCACACTACGCTGTACTTTTTGAGATTATTTGGATCTCTGGAAGCATATTTCCATTATTGCCGATATTCCAAACTCCAGCAATATCTAAATTTAGATACCTGTAGAGGCTGGCTGTTATCCAAATTGTCCCCTTACATAAATCATGACTCTCTCACTTAGCTAAATGGAACCAGACCCATTGATCGTGTACAACTCAGACCATGGATATTGGAGTATAGAAAGACAACCTTTCTTGACATTTTGAAAATTCTAGTTTTTTTTTTCTTATGGAATTTTTACAACGTCACATAATATACATGAGACCTTGTAAATTAAAACATATATAATATATGAAAAAAATAGAAAAAAAAAGAAAGATAGGTGGGTCAGGTGTTGATATTAAAAATAAAGAAAGCATATCCTGACCACAAGCACATGTGCTTTTTAGATGGCAGAGCGCCACCTATGTACTAGCCACTCTACCAGCTGAACACCTCTTTGGCAGATTGTGATGATTTCATTTGGTCTCTTATGGATCTCATGGAGTGAAAGGACTTTCAGGGCTGATAAGGGTCATTAGCTCTAAACCATGGTGTCCAGGTGAACGTTTCTCAGTTTGCCAAAGTTGGTGTTGTGGCTTTGTCACCGACCTTGGTCCGCTAGTTTGTGGAAAGGGTCAATAGATGGTGCTTCGTTTTAGGGTCTGTTTTGATGGAAGAGGCGACCTCTATTTTTATAAATCCATTTCTTCCCAATAATATTTCTATATATAAAAGCATAGGGCGCCTCTCCCGTCAAGATAAACGTCAAAACTAGACGCCATCTATTGACCATCGCCGCAAACTAGGTGCCTCAGGTCGGAGACAAAGCCACAACACCAGCTTTGGCAAACTGAGAAGCGTCCACCTGAAGACCATGGTTTCAGGCTAATGGCCCTTGTCAGCCCATGGCGATCTCTATTCCATGATCCACAAGGGATCTAATAACCTATTCACAATCTGCCAAAGAACATTAAAAGCGTATCGGTTAATATATCCACACAAAAAAAGGTTTATCAAATAATAAAAGACCTTTTGGAGATTCTAATTGAATCTGCTTATTCCATACTGAAACTAAAATATAAGGTAACTCCAAAACGTGATGCAGTTAACTGGTGGAATACACAACTGGATATTTTTAAAACCCTAAACCTGAAAGATCGTCCATAGAGCTCAAAATTATCATTCATGTCAGAGATCAAGCCGCCTCTTGCAAAAGAAACGTGGAAAGATGTATGTCTGTTTTAAACGAAGATATACCAGATCATGAGACTACCTTTCCCAAATATATATTTGTCTGGCGTTAGTAAGATAGCAGTAGGTTTTCCAGATTCTCTCTGATAGTTTTGGTAATAGATTATATTTATGTTACCATTTAATCATTTACCACCTTATTCTGGGATTGACTTTCTTCAGCCACCAAATAGTTATCCGTGGTAAAGTATTGGAGAAACGATCGCGTGAAGCCATTATGTCCGATTTATTTCAGAAATTACAGTTTTTCAATAAATATAGAACTATTTTTAAAAACTTTGTTCATCTAATTCTAGGGACAATTCTATTCAAATCGTGATTTTATAGCCATATAAGCTATATTAAAAAACTTGACAATTTTCAAAATTTATATTTCGGTTACTATTTCTCGCTATGTCACGCTCTATTTTGTATGCTATATTTTATATTCCTTAATAAGAAATTTGTGAATTACAGAGAGTTTGATTACTAGAAGATTTTATAAACATATTTATTCTTCTTTATAACCCTAACATCTATCAAGAGAGTGCATAGTCTCTGACAAATCATTTCCACGACAAAATGTCCTAGAAGGATCGGTCGAGGCCTTTCCCTTCCAATTTGACTAAATCGTTCGGAACGAGTGGAGCCTCAAGGGATTTCCAATGGCCTTCTGCTCTCCATTTGTCAAATTGGGAGTTCTTCCAGTTCCTGTGTCCCCTGCACTCAGCTCGTGACTACTCTGCTGTCCAATGTTGTCTGCAATTGTCCTCAAATTTATTCTGAACAAATCATTTAGGATATGCTCTGATCAGATCGTGACTACTCTACTGTCCAATGTTGTCTGCAATTGTTCCTCAAGTATATTTTGAACAATTCATTTCTGATATTCTCTCATTAGATCGAAACGCCTCTACCCAATGTATTCAGCAATTATTTCTCAAATTTATTTTTAAAAATTCATTTAGGATATGCCCTGATCAGATCGAGACTACTTCCTCAAATTTATTTTGAACCATTCATTTCTAATATTCACTCATCAGATTCGGAACGCCTCTACCCAATTGAGTCACAGAAATTGTTCCTCAAATTTATTTTAAACATTTTTTTCTGATATATCATATCAGATCTCAGGTCTACTCTACAGTTTTGGGGTATAGTCCACCCAGTGAATCATCCATCTTTATCTACTCTTTCAACCAACCTCACTTTTAAGAATATTACTCTGAAAATATCCCGATATTTCTCTTCACTCATACCATTTTAAATTTCTTTCTTTTTATAGCGTAGAATCTCAACCATTCAAATTAAAAATACATTTCAGGATTGTCTTAAATCGCAATGAAATGAATCAATCCATATCTGTATTATATGTAACTTTGTCTTGATTCTTATACACATTCTTCATGTCGGTGCATTTATTTATAGGTTATTTCCTGCTTAAATCATCAATATCTTTATAAATTACTGTATTATTTGTATTTTACTTTATAATAATAATATATAGTATTAAAAATGTGTTCCACTAGATAGCGCTATGCCATCTAGGAATGCTCATGTGAGCCTAGTCAGGATATACCTTTTTGTTTTTAATACCAACATCTGACCATTTATATATTTTTTATTGTTTTTTCACAAATATATAGTACTAGACGGGTGACCCGGGCTTCGCCCCGGGATTGACCTGTGTGCATATCTACCCGAGTGATATATATTTAGATAAGATTTTTTTTTATAATTGTTTGTTATTAGCATTATCTATTTGTTTGCATCAGAATAATTTAATCTTATCTTTGATAGAGGGCGCTGTTCGTGAGCTAAGTAGAATAATTTGAATATATAGTTTTAATAATTGATTTATATATTTTTTAAAATAGCCTATCGTCTTCCCCGTATTTTTTTACCTATGTATGGAAATTTTGGTTTGAATTAGTGAACTACTGCGAATTTGTATACCGGACATACAAACAAACAAACAAACAAACAAACATACAAACATTCATTTATATATATATATATATATCATAGTATATCTTGAGGTACAGCTTGAACCACGCTGACGAGGGCGAACAGCCCGAAACGCGTCCGTGGTTAACTTTTCTTGATTAATCAATAATGGGTATTTGGCCAATTCTGGAATAATCAGAAGTAAACGAGAATAGTTGATATTTATTCCGATAGATGGCGCAAGCCATCAGAAACTTTCAGTTTCACGATAAGGAGATGTATTTTTCTTAATTTATGAACCTTATCCCAGTACAATATTACATTTATACTGTTTTTTCACAGTATATCTATTTGTTATTTTTATTTACTGTATAAATATTTTATAATTTAGAATTAGTCAGCACAAGAGAAATAAGTCAAAATACTATAGTCTCTTACCTCAAATTTTTGAGGAACAAAATTTTATCATCAAGCGAAATTTTATTATAAAATTATTTAATTAAATCAAGATTTAAAGCCCTTGAGGATTCATATAACGTTATATAAATAACATTACTCGTGTTTTTGAGGCACAAAATCACCAAAATTCTCGAGTTAATTAAATATTTTTATAAGAAAATATTCCATATAGGCTATTTTTCACTCAAATAAGAGGTATGGGGTTACTAAATAAAATAGATGGATGATAACGTGGCCCCTGCTGTATATTGAAAGGAAAGAAGTTGCCCCAAAGAAGCTTTCATTAGCTGCAAGTTAGAACGTGCCCTAGCCTAATCGACTCAATTTTTCTCCAATTCCTAGATTAAAGGTAAACCCCGGCACAAATTGTTTTAATGTTTAACTTCTAACCTACCCTGACTTTAATTAAATAATTGCTGTCTAATTCAATCAATTTCCTTTATACACATTTTATTGTAGTAACTTTTAAAAGTTCTGATTTTTTCCCCCAATATTATCTGTCTTGAGAAAAAATATTTTTATATATTTTGTTTCTCAATAGTTATTAGCTAGCTAATCTTATCTGGATTTAGTAATAAAAATTTTGAATTTAATTTTCGGATTTTATGTTGTAATATGTTATATTCTTAAGTATAAATACAGTTTATATTTTATTCTCGTTAATAAACTACTTATATAGAGAGTAAAAATATCAAATTTGAATATTAACTTTCAGAATATACATTAATTTCGTTCTTTTTTTTAGCTTTTACAATAATATCTTTTGCAATTATATATTTATAATTTTAAAAAACGAAAGAAAAAAATAAAAGATAAAAAGATCAGGTGTTGAAATCAATATTAAAATTGGCATATCCTGACCAGGAGCACATGTGCTTTTCAGAAGGCAGAGCGCCATCTGGTGGAACAGAAATCAACTATTCATTGATTTAGCCTGTTCCCTGATATTTGGCCAACCCAATTTCTTGATAAATCAAGAAAAGCCATCCAC